GAATGAGCCCCATCCATAATGTAAAATACCCGCGCAACTTTAAGTTGCCAGATGTCATCTGGGGTTTGTTCGTTGACTTCAGAGGCTACCTGGATCCCTGACACTGTTACAAAATTAACCGAAAGAGGATTAATTTCTTTAAAAATATTTGGGAGAATATGATGTATTTAAGAGTTATTGTTTTATGACAAAAACGAAACAATCGAAAAAGGTGACAATTTCTAGAGAATTTCTATTGCTAACATTTTGATGGACCGTTTAAAACAGCAAAGATATTCCATGTAGGACGGAGTTTATGAAATGTATTATATATTAGAGGAAAAAAGTGCTTCCAGACTCTCGAGTCGGTTTGTTGAAAAGTACAGTTGGAAACACCGTATACATCATAATTTACGAACGTGAGTTTCCCAACTCTTTCAAGTACCAAAGAAGAAAAAAAAGCAAATGTTTTTTTTTTGTAGAATGTATTGAGCTAACATTTTGATGTCATTCATGTTCGTTTCGTGTCTGAAAGCGAAGCATTTTGTTTTAATCGCATGCAAAAATGTGCACAATAACTGACGAAAAGGTCTGCTACAGTCGTTACTTTCTGTAACAGCTATTCACAAATCCACTCTTTGTCGTTCCATCTCTTGTAGCATTTTCATTTGTGGCTTAAAAAATTAAAATGGTACCTCTTGAATTAGTGAAAACATTCTTATTTGTATTGTGTTGTAGTGCTTAATGTTGTATTTCTTTTTTAGTTAATCATAAGCGATCGATTTAAATAAAAGCTGAAGATAAAAAAACAAATATCGAAAAAATAAGTTAATTCGATAACACATCTGTTGATCATTCTTTTCGATATTGGAACATAAATGGAACAACAGGAAATAAGCGAATAATTCGATTTTCGACAAATAAGTACATTTAACGGACGTTATTTGATTTTATAATAACTAGACTACAGATTTTTATGCAAAACAAATATTATCTATACTTATTGTAAGATACAGAGAGCTACATAGACATTTATATCTTTTCTCAATCATTTCAACGAGTTAACATTAATTCAATAGCATTTCTTCATCCTTTAATTTTTTTATCATCTGATCTACTCATTTTTGCTACAAACGTATAAACTCCGCATTCTAGTAATAATAAAACCGAAACGTGTTACAAGGAGCAGGCTTGCAATAATGAAGCTAATCAATGCACGTAGGAATCATAATGCTATTGCTATTGGCGTTCGTCCATTACACACTCACTTAGCAAATATTATCAAATGCATCAGGAGTGATTTTAATCGTTTTCATGCATATGCATATAATATATATGCGTTACTGAAACAGCGCATGAAACGTGAATTATCGGTATATATATATATATATAAGAAACACAATTTTTAATTTCTAAATACATATGTATACATATATATATATATA